CCCTCTCTCTCTCTCTCTCTCTCTCTCTCTCTCTCTCTCTCTCTCTCTCTCTTTCTTCCTCATCATTGTGTCAAGCGCAACGACAGGAGAGAAGGTTTATATCATATAAACTTTTCAGACGACGGCCTACATATCGTATGTATGTATTGTGAGGGGGAGTAAACTAGGGGCTTGTGTAACCTGCCACACGAGACTTCTCTCGATCGAATGTACGCGCTACTGCATACGCGACTTTTCACCCCAGACTTTAGCTTCTTAAAGGCGATCGTTCGATATGCAATGTTCCGATGCCCATTGTTCCAACGCTTTCAGCTTACATTCGCTTTTGTGCACGCGACTCACCAAAGGTATTTCCTATCTTACGTGACCAACTGCTTGAGTACGCGCTTATCGCTGGCTGACTGTCTTATTAGCGAGACCTGATTCAGTAACGGTAAAGATGAAACGAATAAGATGGGGATTGTAGGATTTTAGACATTTGCCAGACATAGAGATCGATAAAGTCATTACATAGAAATGATAAAATCAGTGCTTCGCATTATACATGAATCTTTAATAAAACACGGTGAGTCAAAACCAGTCACACGCATCGATATTTTCGAATGTTAAAAATAAATTATTTTTTAATGATTACCAAGAAATAATTATCAATGAAATGCTCAAAGAAGTTACTACCATTTTTTATTTGTATCACTGACCGGTTTTACTTGTTACAATTTATTGAAGTTATTTCTGATATGAGTATAGAGTACTTCTGGATTCACGGCTGTGTGATCTCAGAAAGCGATAGTATCGAAAGAACACGTAGTCGTCGCGGACCGTTCCGTATACACAAATTATGCTCATCCATAAGCTATCCGTCGAGAACGAACCGACCTCTTCTCAGCGACATGACTGGTTTTCTCCGTATCCGACATACGCTTCGCCTCTCGCTAACGAGAAGAGCCACCTTGATGTCATAAGAAATTCCGATCCAGTGATTACGCCGTCTCGTCTCGTCCATTCGTTCGCTTGTTGCTTTTCCTCTGGACGCGCGCCATAAGATTCTTTTCGATCCGGAATCTCAATCAAACGCGGTACCACGGTTGCAGAGAAAAACAAAATAGAGACAGGCCAGGCTGACGAGCGGCGATATCATGCCTTTATCGCGATCGAGTGGGCACGAACCGTTTCCGTTCGAAGGTTCCTGGTGTTCTCAGCAGCTGCCAGTCGCGCGCAGTCGAAAAGTGCGCAAGCCTCCTCCTCGCGTTGTGGATGACAAGGTGGCGGGATCCAGAAAGAGCAGAAAGAGAGAGAATCGAGACAGAAAAAGAGAGACAAGAGAAGCCGACAGAGAGCAAAAAAGAAAAGAGGGGAAAAAAGGAGAAAGCAGAGAGAAGGAGGAGGAGATCGTCCATCTATCATCCTGCAAAGTGGGCAAGATGGACGGGATTCGAAACTTCCAGTCTCGAAGCTCCGGCTCCGCTCGGGCATAGCCTACAGTTTCTGACGATAAGGCTGGATCAGCCACCTTACAAAGGGACGTATTATGTTGCGACCTTACGGCGAGATTCTCACGGGCGTTCGGATGTGCGATAATCCTTCATCCGACGCGGATAAACCAGCGTTAAAATCGTAAAATGTGGAAGATGCTAATTCGCGCGCGCGCTGCAACGACCGCATTCTGAAACTCCCAGAAACTGGTAATTCCGGCGCAGCTTATTCTGTTCCCTTCGAAGATGTTTCTCTTTAATTTATATATTAAATCAGATTCTGCTTTACAAAACTCTCTATCTTCTCTTTTTGCAAAGATGCCAGATGTCGGATTTTGTTCTTTGTTCAAGTAGCGAGCCAACGATAAAACAAAAAAGGCATTATATATATATATATATAATATCTCAGAATTATTTTATAATAAATTTTTTCTCTATACACTGCAATATCTAATTTTCTCTTTTTCATAAAATTACAGTAGGTAATATAGTAATATTTTTGCATTAATCCGTATATTTTAGGATCTTCCTAGAATATATAATTAAATGAATCGGTAAACAAGATTTTAGAAAGTTATCGCCAATATAGGATTGTATGCTTGATAATTGAACGATAAGTGGACGAGCGATTAATCAGGCTCTCCTTAACAACCCAAAGTTACATGGACTTAATTATGTGCTCGTCTCATAAATTCGACGCGTAGCGCAGCCACGCCAGGGTGTGGGTAGATCGCGGTGAACGTAACGTATGATTAACTCATCGTGCAAACGTAAAAAGGTACGGTATTTCACGCGGTAAGAGGATGAAACCTACGTGATAATAAATGGTTTGACACAATGGAATGGGACGCGGACACTTCGTTGATTAGTATCACTCCGCTATGCGGCCGTATTGCGGCGCTTGTAACGCGATACATTGGACAGCAACGTGCAAGCTGATATTTTACGACGCTCCAGCATTTGTCCGTTGTACGTTTAAGCTGATAATAACCAGGACAAACGTCCACCGAACCAAACCCGCGTGCGGTGGCGCGAATGATTTAGGGAGACAAAATTCGAGAACCATGAGGAGGCCACGGTGATTTTCGGACGTCGACAAATTATAGGCCCGTCATACAAGGAGCTGCGCGCACAATCTCAGTTTATCGCTCGAGAGAGCGGCTGTAATAATTATCGTGCAGTTGTTATCGCGTATCCCGACGATCGTAATACACTGTATTATACAGCTTTCATGGCTCTTGCAGTAAATCCCTCTCAGCCTCGACGTTATGGTGTTATTACATCACATGCGACCTGGATGTAAAATCGCGTTAATAATATTGTTTAACGTTTTCGTAAATTCATCAAATATACATATATAGTTATATTGATTATATTTGTTGCTCTTGTCGCGCATCTTTATTTTTTGATTAAGAAAAGTTTTTAACCAATTTTACAAACATAGAAGTACACGGGAGAATGTCTACCCGAGAACGCGGGAAGTTTTCAGACAGCCGCAGTTTTCCAACTCATGTCGCAAGTATGCTAAGCGGAAAATACCAGGAATCCCAGCATAGGGCGTCGTTATAGAAGCTATTAAAACCAGTTTACCACATACGCAAAGAGCGTTGTTACGAATGTTCCTGCGTACCATCCTGAGCATGTTACGTCCGAAGAATGCGCAGGCGTCCTCCAGAGATTGCAATTCTCGCCGTCACAGTGGACTTCTCTTTCTCTCTGAAGTTTCACAATCCCTTACGACAGAGCGATCATGGAATGGAAAAGATTGTAAGGGGCGAGGGTTCCTGAACAGAGGCAGACGATATGTCAGATCTCGTTTCATTCCGTTCTTATCGCGGTAACGCAGTTAATGGCGCCGGCAACATTTGGAATTGGACGCTTGCTCGCGAGAGGCGAGGACCACTGAGTCCTTTTGTTAGTTTCGCGCGGGCGCGGTCACATCGAAATTCGGTAATTGCTTTCTGGGTTAGCTAGAGCGATCTGAGAGAGGTTTCTCGGGTCTCTCTCCATTTATCCTCGATTCGAAAGCATATAACACAAATGCCCGATATATCTCGTTTTCTCTGTTGATTATTGTCGCAGCTCATCATCGTCGTCTATTCTCCGAGCTCAACTAGCTTGTCAACTTTGATGATGCAACATCATGCATTGTGAATCTATTTTGAATTTCCCATCCTTGTAAATTGGAAATGTGCACTGAGAGAAAAGTAGTATTTGTAACTATAATTACATGGTAAATAATTGTATAGTTAGAATTGCTAAGAGCTCTCTTTTTATAGTTAATCTTTTATTATTATACAGGATGTCCTACGTAACTGTGATCACGATTTTTCTAGCATCTCTTTCGATGATTTGACAAAAATTATTTTAAATAAATGTTAATCGGTTTTCAATCGGTTGCAAATTGTAATATTAAAAATTTGAAAAAAATTTTTTTCTGGATAAAAAGTCAAGGCCACCTTAATTTTTTTTAATGGCATTATACGTTTTTGACTCCGTAATATTCTGATGTCAAGACAAATTCAAAATTATCTGTTATATTATAATCTTTAAATAATCTTAAATTTAGACGTGAAGATCAATGAACTTGATTTTTTACTTAACTTTACTAAAAAAGATCTTTTTGCGAATTTTTAACATTACAATGTATAACCGATTGAAAACTAATTAATTTTATTCGAAACAATATTTTATCAGATCATCAGAAGTGCAAAAAAATCATGATCACACTTACGTGAGACACCCTGTATATTCTTATATATAGTTTTCTTAAACATGAAATAATTATATTATAATTTTAAATTAAAATATTAAAATATCAAAATATAAATGGTAAATAAAACAAATATTTTTATTTCGTAAATACAATCGCAATTATAGTGAATATAACT